CCAGAATTAATGAATGGAATGTCTTCCTCCAAAGGAAACCCCAAAATCACCACTCATATATCAGTGAAGTCTTTGTTATGGCTAATTGATTTAAACATATTTTTGAAGCTGAAATATAATCTATTCTTGAATGAGTTTGATATCTACCTGAATAATATGTGAAGGCTTTTGTTGATGAATGTATAGTTCTCCAGTTACCAATAAGCTCATGCAGTTGCATCAAACTCTGCATCTCTTAACTACTAAAGACTGCCTTCTATTTTTCTGATGATTTCTTCCATCCCCTGCATATCTCCATCAATATTTAAATCACACACCCACACCCAGATTGAATTCTCCCAATTTTATTCAAGGCTGTCATTTTTGTATAAACTCGATTTGGTTCTGATTTGGTGCAGAAGCCAGTGTTATGATTTTATTATCAAGTTTGATAATAAAATCTTCTGTCTCTAACTTTTTGAATCTTTTTTACTCTAAAATCTGCATTAGCCTTAAATTAGATGGGTACCTCTCCTGACTGCAAAAAAAAAAAAAAAAAATTGTATTCCAAAATATTTGTCCTCAACCTTTTCCAATATATGTTTCCTGTAACATAATCAGATAGATTGAAAAATATTAAGTACTTACTGATCTTATTTCTATTTATTGGATTGCCCAATTCTCTAACAGAAACTGTCCTACTTTTTCATGGGTTTCCATTACACTTCTTCTATTTCTGTCTTGCTTACCATTTTTACGAAGTGAATTTATCAACAGGGAAACTATCTTGTAAGCCAACCTATCTGCAGTTAAATTGTGAAATTATTTAAAAAATATTTTCTAACCATCTATGCTTTTTTGCCTCCTATATCCTCTTTTTCCCATCTTCCCCAAGTCCCCTCTTCCATTCACCCCCACCCTTACTCTCCCAACTCTTTTAGATGACATGCAAGCAGAATTTTACAAAGGATTAATTCAGTCCTCTAATTGGTTTAGTTAAGGGAAGCAAGTTTGTTGAATTCTTAGTTTCCCCCTTCCCAGCAGAACATGTCCTTTATTAATTTATATTAATTACTACTTTGCCATTCTTTGCATTTTATCTTATTTCCCAACTAATATAAAACATTATTACATATTTATTTTATAACCATCTCATAAGTCCCAAATGCTAAATGATCCTTTTAACATATCTTGTTTTTATAAAATTATATCAGTTCTTTAAATCTCTAAGATTTTTCTCTGTTAGATGTTCATGAAAGTATTCTTTGGTTTGTTAGGGCTCGGTTAGGGTTAAGGTTAAGGTTAACAGTCTCCCTTGTGGTTGAAATAAAATTAGTCTGAAATGGACCTCCATTTATACTGTATTCTTCTGTCAGGGGCTTGGAGGTTTTTCTTCTCTATAATGTGGCCAAATTATCATCTTGAAAAAAATTATACTTTATCTTTGTCCTGATTTATCACTTCCATACATGAGCTTTTTGCAAAATTATGTCTCTCATGCAAGCATTTATGGATTTTATTATTATATCCCTTCATCTTTGCATCCAACCGAACCTGAGAATAAATATTTTATGGGAGAATTCCACATTCTTATCTGAAAGATAAGAAATTGACATATCCAATTTCAGTATTTTCAGCATTTTCTTAGACTTTTTTCTGCATAATTCTTAGATTTTTTTAAATATTCTGATCTGTACATCAGCCAAATTCAGTCTAATGTTTGTGATGTTTTTTTCAACTTTTCCAATATCAAGTTCATTTCTCATAGCAACATCATGTGCTTTGCTAGCAGTCTGGGTAACCTCTGAAACTTGAGAAGACAATTCTATTAGTTGTTATTAACTTGGTCAAACATATCTGTCAAGTCCTGTGAGATCATATTAACTTACCTCATTCTCCCTTTAGTTCTTGTTTGAGTTGCTTAATTAGATTTCCTATTGAGTCAATTTCATAGCTTTGTTCCAAATGGTACTCACTTTTCACACATCCTCCTCCACCACCCTTTCTTCTTCATTACTAGAGTGGGATGCCACTTCAGTCATGTTTGGCTCATCCACATAAACTTTAATTACTCTGCCTTTTGGTGAGTTATTACTAATCTTGCCAAATAACCAGATACTAGTTTTAAGAAATTGTGAAAATTATCTGAAAAGCTGGGTCAGGAGGAGAGCAGTTGGCTCCTGTTTGAAGAGCAGGTAGAAGTTGTGGTCCGAAGGGCTTTCTCCAAGTTTAGAGTATATAATTCAAGAGCGCACTCACATTTAAGTAATAATCTACTGTGTAACACCATATTAACACACCTATGAATATCAATGCAACGTTAATTGAACATGCCCATATCACAGGAGCAGTCCCTCAATCCATATTATACTTCCAGCATAATGGAGTTGATAACCAATCCTTCTTAAGCATTTTTTAACTTCAAAAGACATGAAAACAGTTTTCTTGAATTAGCTTCACTTTAAGGTTATGAGAAATACTTCACATTTTTAAAACCCTGTGCCATTGATTCAATAAGTTCCTTATTGCGGAGTTCTCAAAAAAGACTAATATCTGTCTTAATAATAACCTTTAATTGTTTATAAATTTGATACAGATTTGGATTTAACTAGAACACATTCCAATAAATATAGTGATACAGCCAGTGAATTTGGGCCTATTTGCAACTTCAGAAGATATTTTAATTGAATATATTGCCATTTTGCAATTTTAGTTTAGTTTACGTTCCTCCTGTAATAGCACAATAGGCTTAAAATATTTATTTACAGTAATTAAATTATTTAAAATTAATGTGGTTAGTGGCTCATGTCTTCCCCATCCTCCCCAGAAGGTTTACCAGCTATTTTCAACCTGTGATTATCCCACAGTGTACACTGTGTGCACAATTATTAGGCAAGTGAGTATTTTGACCAAATATGCAGTTTTATGCATATTTTCCACCTCCAAGCTGCAGAAAAATGAATGCTTATTGGATATAAGCATATCAGGTGATGTGTATTTGTGTAATGAGTGTAAGATTTACCCCGTTCAACTCAGACAAACTCTCGTGACACGTGTGTTCAGCAAAGAAGTTTACTCAAGCGTAACGTAGGTAAGTATAGACAAAGCCAGGGTTGGTTTGGCACACTTTACATTGTAATTTATAGCTCCCCCGTTCCCGCGCTTAACCCCATTGCTTGGTTACAGATTACCCGCAGTAATCCTCCCCTCGCTCAAACGGCAGATTCAGTCTGGTTCTTTTGTGTTCTTGATTGCTTTCTGTCGGTGGCGTGGTTGTTGTCTTTGTTAGGTTTTCCTATTGTGCACATAGGTGGGTGTTCTTAATCACCCACTGATTGCTTCCCTTCCGATCCGCTGCGCTCCCCTCCGGCGCTGATACAAAGTATCCGCTTGCGGTTTGAGTCAAGCGGCAACACCTGGTTGTAATCAGTTTGTGGTTTCTCACTTCCCCTTTTTCCCGGCTAGGGCCTGAGCAGTGAAATTGACTAGGCGCGGCTGAGCAATGCTTCAGTTGTGCCGTGCCGAGCAATTCTCTAGCCGTGCGGCGTCGGCTGAATCTGACAATGAGGGAGGGTGTGGCCTAAGGAGATCAACACCCTATATCAAGGTGTGCATAATTAT